TTGATTTTAGAGCTTTAATTTGTCATGTTGGATCTTCAGTTTGGTGACTTTCTGACATATAAATGGCCAACAAAGCAGGACATCCTAGAAGTTTAAACAATACATTGAATGACAGTTCACTTTTGAGCCTTAATCACTATTCTCAGAAGAGTTCAGCTCAAGAACACCACAGATCTTCCCCAATCTATCGTACCAACGTATATTCTGAGGAGCGATATAGTTGCTATACAAGGTGGCGGCAACAACAATACTACAGCGAGAATAAAAGTTACGCCTTTTTTCTTTGCCTGAACATTTGGGCTGCGTTATGCAAATCTTCCCAAATAGTGACGTAGGTATGTGGGGGCGTGTTAGAACGAGGCGTTTTAGGTAGGCGTGGCTGACTCTTAACTTTTATAAAGAATATCTCTTTGGATTTGAGACTTTAGTCTTTGCAACTTTACAGATCTTCTTTATGCACCAAGAGCTTGTAACACTCCAAAGAGAAAGGAAAATTTTTAATTGTATCATATGACCCCTTTAACATACACATCCACTACAATTATATTAAAGCTCACTGACATCACGTAAAATTACAAAGGCTGCAGGTTAAATGGCTGTTGGCGGCAAAGTTCACTGGGTTAACCGTTTTACAGATCTAATAGCAGCGCAGATAACTTCATACCAACCAACCGGATAGCCAGAAGGGCTGTGACAGCGCCATATACAGTAGATAGTATTGCCCTGTATTTCACCCCCAGCAGGAAGTGGGGGGTTCGGTGAAGTACGTATGCAATTATCCAGCCACGATGAAATAACCTTTCATTATGACCAACAGCTGCAGAAGTGCTGCAGTGAACATATCTTCATAAGTTCAAGTGCTTCTGAATATGATGGAGACGACTGTCTGATCGGTTCACTACTGGATAATGCCTTCATATCCCCACACTTTTTTCTGCTTCACAGCAACTATTTGTCATTTTGTATATTTTTTTGCGACTTTAGAGCCCCCTGCAGTTAAGTGAGAGGAATTCACCGTTGTAAAATATCACATTCGTAATTACGGTGGATAGCTGTACAGTGGATTTGTTGCTGCCATAAAGCAATCTGCCCTTTTCGCCGCTCACCAAACCTACATACTTCCAGAACAGACGTTTTTGGGGAGCGTGGAAAAGAAACATAAGCCATTCGCCTTATTAGAAATTAGTTTACCATCAGAATGATTTTGAAACTTGTATTTAAAGGTAATATATATATATATACTGTATATACACTGAACAAAATTATAGATACAACACTTTTGTTTTTGCCCCCATTTTTCATGAGCTGAACTCAAAGATCTAAGACTTTTTCTATGTACACAAAAGGCCTATTTCTCTCAAATATTGTTCACAAATCTGTCTAGATCTGTGTTAGTGAGCACTTCTCCTTTGCCGAGATACAATTCCTGGAAGCTGAAAATATCCCAGTTCTTGCATGGCCAGCATACTCATCGGACATGTCACCCATTGAGCATGTTTGGGATGCTCTGGATCGGCGTATACGACAGCGTGTTCCAGTTCCTGCCAATATCCAGCAACTTCGCACAGCCATTGAAGAGGAGTGGACCAACATTCCACAATCAACAACCTGATCAACTCTATGCGAAGGAGATGTGAGGCAAATGGTGGTCATCCAGATACTGACTGGTTTTCGGACCCCCCCAGACCCCCCAAATACAGTAAAACTGCACATTTCATAAAAGTGGCCTTTTATTGTGACCAGCCTAAGGCACACCTGTGCAATAATCATGCTGTCTAATCAGCATCTTGATAGGCCACACCTGTGAGGTGGATGGATTATCTCGGCAAAGGAGAAGTGCTCACTAACACAGATTTAGACAGATTTGTGAACAATATTTGAGAGAAATAGGCCTTTTGTGTACATAGAAAAAGTCTTAGATCTTTGAGTTCAGCTCATGAAAAATGGGGGCAAAAAGTGTTGCGTTTATAATTTTGTTCAGTGTATATATATATATTGCTTTAAACTTGAGGCATCTAGATATGTGGATCTGCTATAAACAATGTTTTATAGGCTAGGCTTAGCTACAGTGCACAGCATAAATGAGTACACCCCCTCTAAAACTGAACAAATTCAGCAATTACTCTTTACTTAGAAGACATGTTAGGGTTCTTTGGAGATGTAATGTTCCAACAAGCCTGCTTGATCAATTACCAAAGAAGCATGCCAAAATTATTA